AGCCCAATTCCAAGATGCCGCATCGTCAGCCCCAGCCAGCCCAGCCCCACCCCAGCCGACCCCCCCCCCACCCGACCCAACCCCCTACTTTCGGGGGACACCCATTGCGATTTGATGATTTTGGTATGGGGACAGGCACCGGACACCCCTTGCGAGCTGCGAGTTTTTGGACAGCCGTAGGGGGAGCCCTTGCGGTTCATGATTTGGGAACCTATGTTTTTGTACAACCTGCAGGGAGACACTCTTTGCGATCCGTGATTTTGGGATCCGCGTTTCTTCAAAACCTAATCGGACACTCCTTGCGGGCCCCAGCCCCCAACCCCAGCCCACCACCGCATCTGTTGGCAAAATCTGGTGGAAGTGAGCCGCCACCGAGCAGAAAGCCTGTAAATACCGCGTTAAAACAACGGCCAGGGATCCCACACATCTGCGGGCAAAATCTGGCGGAAGTGATCCGCCACCGAGCAAAAAGCCTGTAAATACCGCATTAAACAAAAGGCCAGGGATTTCACACATCTGTTGGCAAAATCTGGCGGAAGTGAGTGCTGCTCACTTCCGCCAGATTTTGCCAACAGATGTGTGAAATCCCTGGCCCTTTGTTTAATGCGGTATTTACAGGCTTTTTGCTCGGTGGCGGATCACTTCCGCCAGATTTTGCCCGCAGATGTGTGGGATCCCTGGCCGTTGTTTTAACGCGGTATTTACAGGCTTTCTGCTCGGTCGCGGCTCGCAGGGAAGGCTGGGCGTGGGCTGGGGGACTGGCAGTTGGGGCAGGCCCTCCTCTCCTTCACTACACCCTCCCCCAACCCCTTTTCTCCCTGCCTTCACCCAGCCCGAACCGCCCCAGCAGCCCCAGCCGCCCCAGCAGGCCCAGCAGCCCCAGCCCCAGCAGCATTTTATCATGAAGCCTTTTCCGGAAGATCGGCCCGGCAAAATCTTAGAAGACATTTGTGGCACTTGTGGCACGCCCCGGAAAAATCTTATTAAATCTTATTGAATCTTATTGAATCTTATTGCTAAGCCCTGTTGATCCAAACTTTGTGGTGTTGGCTTGTTGCGAATTTATAACTTTTTCCTTGGAAAATCGCAAATATTCGCCACCGTTTCGCGGGGGGCTCCCGCCCCCCGCACCCCCTGGATCGACCCCACCGGGGGAAAGGGGGGGATACCCCCCCTTGAACCCCCCCGTGGAAGCATCTTTTCTTGGATAGATAGATCGAGATTCCCTTTGCAGGGAGATTATATAAAATCTTATCAGTGTTAGAAAGCAAAACAACCCAAATAAAATCTTACTACATCTAACTATAAATTTCATTAAATCTTAATTCGTTTTCAAAAATTTTGAAGTCCCGAGCCCGGTCCCCAGCCCTCGCCCTTGCGCCTTATCAGCCCACCTCCCAGGCCAGCCTCGCCCCCGCGCCAAACTCAAAGGCATGACCCTATAAGCACATATAGATACCAGATATGACAGCAAACAGCAAAACCTTTAAAGAGCAAAGACAAAGCACCCACACAAAGCAAAGTTTACAGGGGCGCTCTCTGCTTGAGTCGATGAAACACACTACTGTGCTTGTACTGTGCTACTACTGTACTACCATTGCACCAATGTACTACTATGCTACTGTACTACTGTACAGGCCTCAAACTTGGTCGATCGTGGGGGTGGTTAGGTTGGAGGCAAAAGTCTTCAACATGAAAGGTCTGTAGTGTTGGTAGTTATCTTGGAGTGATCGGGGCTTGGTTTCAAGTTATTGGTGATCTCCAAGCCCCCCGATTGCGGCGTTCGCGCAGGTTTCAAACCGACCATGCGACCCCCCATTTCCCTTCTAACTTATCCAAAGCCATTCAGACCCTCAGCCAGCCGAACCCCGGTCCAGGGGGTCACGGACACCAGACTATTCAAACCAAAAACCTTTGGTCGAGGGGGGGTGGCTATTAAACGGCCGCCACATTACAGGTAGCAGAGATACAAGAAGAAGCTCGATGATGCACCGGTGAGTACATGTAATAGTCCAGTAGTAATGCATGTAATAGTACACTTGTAATGCAGTAGTAGTACAGTAGTAACACGGTACGAGGTTTTTAAGTGTACTTGGAGCTGTTTAACGGTTTGGGGGGATCACCAAAGGCTGGAAACCAAAAGCCCCGATCACTCCAAGATACTACCAACACTGAAAACCTTTCATTTTGAAGACTTGTGCCTCCAACCTACACTCCCCTCCACAATCGACTATGTCTGAGGCCTGGTACGGTACAGTAGTAGTACAACAGGGTAGAGTAGTACTATAGTAGTAGTAGATACAGTGCAGTACGAGGGTTTAGGGGTACTTGGAGCTGTCTAGCGAGGTTTGGGGACGACAAAAAGTCGAAGCCAAGACACGGTCACTCAACGAGAACTACCAAAACTGCAAACCTTTCACTCTGAAGACTTTTGCCTCCAACCTACACTCCCCTCCACAATCGACCACGTCTGAGGCCTGGTGCGGTGCAGTGGTGTGTCGTGCAGTAGTAGTACAAGTACTAGCACGGTAGTAGTACAGAAGTACAAAAGTAGTACCGTCGTAGTACAGTAGGGGTGCGATAGTACCGATAGTAGTACAGAAGTATACTTGTAAGAGGGTAGTAGTAAAGTGGTAGTACAGTAGTATTAAAGTAGTTGTACAGTAGTGGTACAGTACGAGGGTGTGGGAGTACCTGGAGCTGTTGAGCGGGGGTTTGGGCATGACCAAAAGCCCGAAGCCAAGCCACGATCATTCCAAGATAACTACCAAAACTGAAGCCCATTCATGTTGAAGACTTTGGGACTTTGCCTTTCAGCCATTAGCCTTCAACCATATACCATGGCACTCTGCCTTCTAACCCTACACCCTAAAACCCTGAAGCTCTAACCCTAACCCTTTCATTACCCTCAAACCCCTAATACTATGGCACTCTGCCTTCTAACCCCAAACCCTAAAGACCCTGAAACTTTAAACCCTGTGCCAGGTCTTCTTCATCCTCGTCTTCTTGGAAAAAACCTTAAAAATGTAGAAAAAATAGTTTCTTGTGTTTTAAAGTTTTTAAACAATTTTAAAAGTTTTTTAAAGTCTTTAAAAGTCTTTGAAAGTCTTTTAAAGTTTGTAAAAGTTTTTAAAATCTTTTAAAAGTCTTTTAAAGTCTTTTAAAGCTTTTACATGTCTTTGAAAGTTTTTAAAAGTTTTTCAAATATTTTAAAAGCCTTTTAAAGTTTTGAAAAGTCTTTTGAAGTTTGTTAAAGTCTTCTAAAGTTTCTAAAAGTCTTTTAAAGTTTTTAAAAGTTTTTAGAATGTTTTTCTTGCATTTTAAAGTTTTTAAAAGTCTGTAAAAGGTTTTAAAAACCAACTCTGTCGAACAAGCCCTGTGGATCTAAACCCTGTGGTTCTGGTTCGGTGCAAAGGGTCAATGATTAATGCAGGATTATAAGTCTAGAATTCCACGGCGGCCAAATCCGAAACATAAACCCTAAACCCTTCGCGGATCAAGCTCACGAGAGCCGTCTCCCACGCTTTGAAACCTGAGGCTCGCTGTGGTGGGGGTCGGAATCTCATGCCTCCTTAACTGTAAGAGTCGATACCTGGAGGACCATTGGACTTATTAAGTACGGTTACAAGTACCTTAATTGGGGTTATAGGTTTAGTTACCTTTAAATGTAACCCTAGTTACTAAGTGCCCCAGATCCTTTAAGTACGGTGATAAGTCTCCTTTACGGGCCCCTCTGAGCTAAGTGTTTTCAAGGGTTCTATTCTGCGCCCAAGCACAGAATGCACAGCCCCTCCCCCGTCAACCCCAAACCCTAAACCCTGAGCCTAACCCCTGGACTGTTAACCCTAAACCCCAAACCTTAAATCCTACCACGCTCTGACCCGGAACTGGCGACCAAGCAAAATCCTGAAAAGCAAGACAGGCCCCTTCTAGGAGCCCTTCAAAGAACCTGATTACAACACCCTACCCATATTGGGGTTTCCGAGAATAGGGGACACTAATATAGTACCCTAAATAGTAGGATCATGATTAAAGGGAACCCAAAATAAGGTACCCTAATTTTCGGAAGCTCTGAACCCTAAACCCTTTATAGAACCCTTATAGATCCCTTGAAGGAGCCCTTTCAAGGTGCCCCGAATTTTCGGAAGCTCCCATATAGGTACTCTGAATGGAATCCTTGCGCCCCAGAATCTATCGACGTCGAAAAGCTCCTCAAACGAAGCCCTCCAAATGCCCGGATACGGCAAAACTTAACCCTATAGACACTGTAGAGTGCATGGCGATCCGGTTTGAGGGTTTAGGATGTAGAGTTTAGGGTTTAAGGTTTAGGGTTTTAGGTTTAAGGCCCTGAATCCTAAACCCGAAGCCCTAAACCTTTTCAAAAGGCACAAGACCGATAAGCACCGGCGCAGCCTAGGGCAAGTGCTCTCAGCGGCCAGAGACGGTTTTGCTCTCAGCCCTTTGCGCTTTCCACGGTTGAAAACCCCCCCAAAGAACCTCTAGGGTTCTACTTAAAGGTTCATGGGAGTTAGTAACTAGGGTTGTAACTAGGGTAACTATACGTATAACCACTTATAAACTCAATTATTGTTCTTATAACCTTACTTACTAAGTCCCACGATCCTTCAAGCAGGGTTTAGGGGTTGAGGGGTTTAGGGGCCTTAATAAGTAGAACAGGGTTCCTTTAAGGGCTCCCTTTAAGGGCTGAGAGTTGGATCTACAATAGGGTTCTATGATCTAGGTGCCTTAGCAATCGGAATAGGGTTTGGGGGTATATTCTATTGTAGGAAAATAAGAGCCCCCCCCAAGTTGTGTTGGTCATAACTTGAGCACCAATACTATTGGCAATAATTTAGGCCCTGTATTGGTCCCAAACACTCACTCACTCACTCACGCAAGAGGACGTCCTGTGCTAACTACAGCGTGCAAGGGCCCAAAAGCGTGACTGCTGTAGTCACGCGGCCAGAAATGGAAGGAAAACACTGTACAGGGGCGGCGAGTCATGCTGCCGGATAGGCCCAGAAAGCTCGCAAAGGAAGCGAGGCCGGGGCCGAGCAGGCAGGGCGAGCAAAGACTGCACGCACAAGGGAGGCCAAGGAAGCAGAGCTTGCGACAAGGAAGACCCGTCCCCTCGGCGAAAGGAAGTCCAAGAAGAAGGCCGCCGGGAGCAGGCGGCGCAGCAGGGCAAGACCCGAATTGCTGGGGCGCCCCCAAAGCCAGAGGGCACCGCGGCGGAGGACAGCCTTGCAGATCATACGGAAGGATACCGTGGCAGCGGCCAACTCCAAAAGAGACCACTTGCCAGCAGTGGCGTCAGCAAGGGTGGCTGCTGCGCCCAACCCACACGAAGAGGCGGAGCGCAGAGCACCAAAGCGACGGATGGCCCGATGCTCCCAAGGTTCGAAGAACTCGAGCGCGGACCACATAGGCCAGAGCCGGTGCCAGGAGGAGGGAAGTTGAAAAACACCTCCAAGGCCAAGAAGCCCAGGCCACCAGGGCGAAGGAAGAGCCCAGTCGTCACAGCCAGCAGCCCCTTCCACAACGGAGAACCATTGCAAAGGGTGTTGCACAGGAGAGGCCACATCGACAGTGGCCGAGCGGGAATGCTGGGAGGCAAGGGACGTGGGGGAGGAACCGCGTGCAGCGGAGATATGGCGAGCCTGCTGTGCGCCGAAAACATCGTCGGAAGGCGACAAGGGAGAAGGACGATGCAGGTTGCCGGGGACAAGGTCCGAGAGGGCAGGGGAGCGTTGAACAGCGTCCCACTCAGCTTGCAGGGCAGCATCATCGGCCGGCACCCCAAGGTCGGCCGCCCGTCTCTGCGCTGGGGTGGCATTGCAAGGCCCGCAGATGCGCTGCGGAGGGACCCCACGGTGGCTGGCGCGACCCGAGCGTTTTGTGCCCGAACCGTACTGGTAGACAGGGCCGACTGTAACGCGCAGGCCGTGCAGGCAGGAGCGCTGCGTTTGAAGGTGGTGCTTCAGTCGATCCGAGGATTGGAAGTCTCGCATACACCAAAGACAAACCGAGCCCGCCATATAGGCAGTCACATCAGACAGGACGCCGTGTTTCCGATGCATGTGAGCTCGTACTGCATGAAGGCTCGGGAAAACTCCTCGACAGACCGGGCAACTGTGGGATTGTGGCGCACCTAGGATCTTGGTGGTGCGACGGGAGGCAAGATCCGCCCAAAGCTGTGCGCAGGCAGCGTATCGGTGCCCAAATTTGCTCAGAGCCTTGCACGCTCGAAGGAGAGCGCGTCCGTTCTGCTGAACGAACAGGACAGTGATGGAGGGGGGAGCGGCGGGGTCCCAGGAGTTTAAGGCGACTCCCACTCGCAAACAGGCAAGGACGAGGGCCTGACACCAAGGGATCGCTCGATTCCACGCAGCATCGACAATTTCCCTGACAGCCGCAGGGGCCTTGCAGAAAAGTTGCACGCAAAGGCGGCACTGGCTAACAGTGGTAGCAAGGTCAGGAGGGGTGATATCGGCGAGAAGCCGAAGCAAAGGGGTGGTAAGTTTGTGACCGACTTGCCAGGATGACAACAGGATCCTAGCTGTGCGTTCAAAGAGTCCAGCCAATGGCGCAGCAGCCCGGGCGGAGTCAGCGCGCGAGAAGGCCAAGGAGGAGTAAGCCGAGGGGAGAACACGGCCGGTAATCCAGGCTCGTTTCAGTTGCCAAGGCAGACAATTGCTGCAAAGCAGGGTTCGGGCAAGAGACGCCGCCGCTGACCCCCGCTGTGCCGACAGCTCGCAGTCACGCCTGCCGGTGTCTCGAGGCAATTGGGCTACACCCAAGTATTTGTACTCAGGGCAAAGGCGAATGCTGTCACCTTTGGAAACTTCCAAAAGGGCGTCGCCGCTGAGCAGGGCGCCGCGTGCAGCGCGTGCGCCGTCTCCCCTAATATCGACAAGGGCCTCGGTTTTGCCTGCCCCAAGGTTAACCCGGAACCGCAAGCACCGGAGTGTGTCAAGAATGACACCGGTGAGTTGGGGGAGCTGTGTTTGGAGCTCGGCAGGACTATCAAAGTCCGCAAGGACGGCAAGGTCGTCAGCCCAGCCAATCGGCTTGACGCCTGGCTCAAGGCCGATCTCGACCCCGGCACTGGTGTGCGAGATGCCCATGGAACAAGCAGTGCGCTGGATGTGTTGCAGCCCGATGGCAAATAGGGCGCCGAACAGGACGTCAGCTAGGCCGTCTCCGGGACGGGAGCCTCGGGAGGCCAGGAAAATGTTGTCCGACCCGGAGAGCGACCAGTGGGATAGGGCAACACAATCCCGAAGGAGCGCGCTGACATCCTCAGCAACGCCAAGAGCGGAGAGAGCCCCCTGACCATGAAGCTGGAGCACAAGTCCAGCAAGGTGATGGTGCTCCGGGACATCGACATCGTCAGGGAAGCCATCGAAAAGGAGATCTCGGCTAGCCTCATAGTAAGCGGCTTGGATGTCGACAAAGACAACAGCAACGCACCGCCCCGCAGCGACGGAAAGGTCCCAGGCGCATCGGAAAGCGGCCAGTGCAAACCCAGTGTGGACGCCACGGCGCCCTCCTAGCTGCATGGGCTCATAACGAGACAGCACATGTCCACCGACCGTGGTGCGGAGGTGTGAGTGCCACAACTTAGCGATGCCGTTAAGGAGGGCGATGGAACGGTAGTTGGCTGGCACTGATGCCGGGCCCTTTTTGTAGAGGGCGCAGTCGATGGCTTTCTTGAAATCGAAGGGTTCTCGGCCCTGAAGCGCAATGCGGGTGCAGAGTGGCCAAAGCCATTGACCGGCAAGGGCTCCATGTTCCCGCCAGAGCTCGTTCCGCAGGCCGTCAGGTCCTGGTGCTTTAGCTGGTGCCTGTCGGATGCACATTTGCTCCATTTGGAGCAGTGAAGGAACTGCCTCGAGGCACGGGGAGCGAGTGGCATCGACAGAGAGCCACTGCTCGGCTGTTTGTGAGAGCTGTGCAGGAGAGACGAGGCGGGCGCCTTCCTGGTCACGAAATTGTGCTTCAAGCTCACGGTCGATGTCGAAACCGCCAGCGGCGTGCACAGCCCGACGGTCATGGGCCTTACGAGAGGCCCATCGAAGATGCCGGATAGATTCCAAAGGAATGCCTGTGGATTCCCAATGCTGGGTGGCAGCAAGGGTAAGGGTGCGGAAATGGGCAAGCTTATCAGAGCGGGCTAGATAGTGTGCCTTCTGCTGCAGACCCCGGATGTGCAGATTACAGGCCTGTAACAGCAACCTGGCATGTTGAAGCCCGGTGGGGTCTGGGCGAGGGACAACAGTGTCGGATCGTCCCCTGGCGCAACTCCAGCGCCACACGAGTAGAAGAAAGCGCCGTTTCTGCCATTCGACATTATTGCGGAGGCGCGGGAGTTGCTCGCGAGCCTGCCGCACAACATCCAGGGCGGCGACAGACTCAGCAGTGATGTAGGGCTGGCGGGCAGGCCGCCGAGGAGCTCGCGGGAGGGCCTTCAAGAGGCGGAGGTGCCTAGCCTTGAGATCCCTGATCTCCTGTCCAACCTCAGCGATGCTGCGCACGGGAGATGGGAGCTCGCACCAAAGGCTAGCAGCAATAAGCTGTGCTTGCTGGGCGGTAGCGCGGTTGGATGCCCCGGGGGGTCTGGCCAGTGTCGCCTGTCGTTTAAGACAGCATTCAACGAGGAGAGGCATATGATCTCTGCGGCCGTTGAGAATGTCCAGCTCGGGAAGTTGCCGGGCTCGGGTGCACTGCCATGGACCCGCCTGAAGCAGGAGGTGGTCAAGCCGCTTCCGAGTACCGCCCGTATGCTCCCAGGACCAGCCCGGGCCCTGTTGGATGGCGGAGAAAGAAGCTGGTGCAAGAAGACCGAAGCGCTGGATGGTGTCAAAAAGACCTTGCTCGCCAGCACCCTCCTCACTGTTGCCCAGACAGTCGCCTATATAGGCATGGTCTTCGTCCGCCCAAAGGAGGTCAGCGTTAGCATCCAGGCCGAGAACAAGAGACAGGGCCCGGGGCAGCTGGCACAGGGACGAGTGCAACGAAGACCAAAAGTGGTGAATCTCAGAAGCAGGCCGCTCAGCGTGGGGGGCATGGGCGGCGATGACAGCAAGAGGTAAGTCCTCACGCTTGCTGACAATAACAAGAAGACGAGGGTCAGCACTAGCGATGCGCCAGTCATCGAGCCGCAAGGGCGGATTGGTAATGCCAGGCCTTATCCAGATTTCACAACCATAGCTCCCTTTCTGCGCGCCAGAGCGCCACGTGAGGAGGCCGGCTGTGTCCCAACGGCCACCCTTGCTGCGAGTTTCTTGCAGGCAGACAACGTCGAGGCCTAAGGTAGCAACCTGGGAGTAAAGGTACTGGCGCCGCTGACCATGCCCTGAGGGATTGAAAAATGAAGCGTTGGAGTCGCGCATCGTTTGAACATTGGCTGTGACCAAGCGCAAAGGGATGGGAGAATCGGCAGGTGGACGGCCCGGTGGAACAGCGGCCTCAGTGGATGTCAAGGTATCTTCAACAGGAGGGAGAACGTCACCAGCCTCAGTAGCAGGGGCACATGAAATGGTCTGAGAGACCAAACAAATACACGGCCGACCCTCAACGACACGAGCATGCGGGATGACCCAGAGCCACGGAGCCGCGTTTTGCATGAGGGTGGGTAGCGAGGGGTCAAGCTGTTTCCACGGTTGCCAGGAGACTCGACCCGACCAGCCGGCAAGGAAGTCCGCGAAGGTGTTTGGGAGCACTCCAACATGGCTATGGACATGCTGGAACCGTGTGGAGAGCCGAGCTTGGACGGCCTGCCAAACATACCGAGTGGTGGTGGTGGCAGGTGCTGCGGCTTGGGCCTGCCCTGCTGCGATTTGAAGTGCCGCAGCGTTATCGACCGCAACAGTAACCTTGGTAGGGGCAGAGGCTGTGAGAAGGGACAGGCGGTCAACCCAGGCAATAAGCCAGAGTCCGGCAGCCTGTAAGGCCGAGAGTTCGGTGTGGAAGGAGAGGCCGCCTGCCGAGGGCGGCAGGTCGGGGGTCCAGGGGAGCTGATAGCCAGAGGCCCCAAACCAACCGACGCGGTACCATCGATGGCGCCACCAAGCCCACACACAAAAGGCCCATGCCCCTCCATGCTCGCCGCTGCCGTCAGTGGCAATGAAGACCTGGTCAGGCACTCCACCGTGCCAGAGCGGGAATTTGCAGAAAGCCTGACGGTATGGTGGAGGGGCGGATGCGGGAAGAAACGGGTAAAGCTCATGAGACCACCAGAGTTGGTGTATGGACGCCTGGGCGACGCATTCCTCATGAACATCGGCCGACCACGAGATTCCATCAGTGCTGCTCCAAACAGGCGCGCCCCGAGCGCGGAGATAGCAGCTGGTACGGAACAGGAGGCCAAAATCAAACGTGGGAGCATGGCAATCTCCTGAGAGGGCCCCTACACGGGGAAAGAGCGGGTGGGCTGGGACGGCCGGCGGGCCGTAGCTTGCCACCAAGGGCCGCAAGCCAAAGCCGCCGGAGAGATCCCGGGAGCAGACCCCCAACTAAAAGGTGGGGAAGGAGAAGGGACGGGGTTGGTCGACAGCCAGAGAGGCTATCTCCGTCACGCAGCAGGCCACTCGCCCCTTGTCGCGGAACGACCTGGACGCGCAGGGGAGGCTGTGCGGGAAGAACATGCGCACGGTGCAGGTTCGGGCTCTCAGGGACCAGGTGAAGACCGAGGTCATCAAGCCGCTGTGCAGGAATCCACACTGAAGCGGGCAAGGGAGGGCCGAAATGTGCAGTGCACGGGGTCCCATTGTTCGTCACGGACCGTGGGCACAGTGAGTGGGACTGGGTCACCGGGTGGAGCAGCGTGTCCCAGTAACGCCCGGCCGGCGAGCGGAGGCGAGGAGCCCAGGTCTCTCCAGCGAGAGTGAGAACGTCGCCGGACCGGAGAAAAAGAGTTGGGTTCGGTGAGGTAGCTGTCCCACACCAAATTTCGGGGGGTGCCAAGATGAGAGACAGGTCCCGGACAATTCGATTGCAGGCTCGGAGCAAATCGGCAGCGGCGCACGTAGCTGGAAGGAAAGCAGCCCGGGTGGTAGGTGGGCACTGAAGAAGGACGGTGGCGAACATCGGGTCAGAGGGCACCGGAACCCAGTCAACAAGGAACCCGGGTAAAGGATGACCATGCGGGAGCAGCATCTCGAAGAGCGACGGGAGGCTCCAAAGAAGCTCCACGGAAGGGTCCAAGGACCCCACAGGCAGGATCCCAGCCGATGGCAGGTAGGGTAACAGTCTGGCAAAAGAGGGCCCTCTGCGTACAGGTCCAGAGAGGAGCTCGGGGCAGCGCCAGTGTAGCGAGTAGCCCAGACAGGATGTCCCAAAGCGAGTCCATTAGCGAGGAGAACAGCGCTAGGCCCGGCAGTACGCCACCCAGACACCCCGATCAAACTGAAAACGACCCAAGGTGCAAAGCGCCCGCATGCCTCGGACACCACATCACCACTGCGTAGGGTAGTTCCCTGCCTAAGCTCGTGATGAGAAACACCGAGGACCCGAGGTTGACCGGAAACAGTCGGCAGTTCAGTCCACAGTTGCCACGCATCTGTGACAGCAGTGATGGAGGCGCACCAGCATTGACCATCCGCTTCCACCACCACATTGGCACGGGATGGGTCCTCAGGGAGCAGGACGAGATGCGTGTGGTCCTGGGCAATCCAGGGGACGGGCACCCAGCGACCGGGGTAATGTTGGCAGAATTCCCCTTCGAAGGTGAAGTCGAGTGAGCTCCTGCGGGGGCATGTCCCCTAACGGCCCTGACGCCCGGTTGCCACAGAACGAAGTTCGCTCTAAAGGAAACTGAAAAATCAACCGACCATATGGCACAATGACGGACTTGGGTGTCAGAGTGGAAGCAGGGCGGTTGATACTCAGGCACAAAGGCGGCGGGCGGAAGAGCAACAACGAGGTCCCCTGAGCGCCATCTAACATTTTGATCCGTGGTGGCCTCAGCAGTGAGAGGGCTGGGAGCTCGCACGGACAGGGTCTGCATAGGCTGCAGAAAACGTAGAGCAAAACTGAGCCATGACACTGAAGTGACACACGGAGTCAGGATGGAAAAGTGTTGATCCAAGGACGATATGGCGAGACACACCATGTCGAGAGAGAGGGGCCGGGGCACAACAAGCAGGGCAGGGATGGCCGCTGTGGGCCACACCGGCGCAACATCAGCAGCCCATTCAGGGTCGCACGCCCGCGCAAGCGAGCTCAGATCCTCAAGTGTGGACACAGTGGGGAGACGTCCAGCTTCCCGCGGACCAGTGAAAGGGCTGAGATACACAACGTCAATCTCAGTGCCAGGAGAGAGGTCGACAAGATCCTCCTCACCGGACTTGGCTCGCCATGGGTACAGGCCTGTGCGAATGGGCCTATCCGGCACCTCCAGGACCGGGACCATGCCACACACGTAATGAGAAAGGAGAGCGAGAGTAAGCCAACGGGGCCATCGAGCAGCGACCGCAAGAAAGGCAAGCCAACCGGCCCCTCGTATCCCAGAAGGCGGCGAGCAGGAGGGCCAATCATAATGAGACTCCTCCGCGGCCGCAGAGGGAAGAGGGCCGAAGGGGTCCCACACCACGCTGGCGTCTGGGTCGATGACTAGCACATCGCCGTCTCGAAGAGGGCTGTCAGCGCGAACATATTGCAGAGCGGGCAGAAGTCGCCACCCTGGAGGGGCGCGATAAGCATTGCAGCCTGCGAGCCGCCGGCCCTGTGGCATGAGGTCCGGCGGCAGAAGGAAGAGAACGTGCGCCTCGCCAACAGAAGCTTGGTGCACCAAGTGAAGACTCGACAGGTCACCCGTCAGAACCGGGACCCATGAACCTGACAAAGCCTCCCCGTTAAGGCTCCAAAAGGTGGGACCTTCAGGGTCCCAGTAGCCCGTATCCCTAATCCTTATGTAGTGCCCTTGCCGGCGATTAGAAAACCCGAGAACTACTGGCCCACCAGAGTCAAACCGAAAAGGAAGAGACCAGCTGGCGACTTGTCGGGCCCGCTCGAGGGAGGGATACTGCAGCAGAGGGAAGCGGGTGGCCTCTGGCTGAGATTGTTCAGGAACAATACTAAAGGCGTCACCATTACGCAACCTGAGATGGGTGTGCGGGTTGGCCGCGCGTAACACAGGTGGCGCAACCACTCGCCAGTAGCGAGCATGCGTGAATACCCGAGCGGCGAGCCGCTGGAGGTCAACCAAACTGGAGTCAACAGACGCTAAAGCCACGGCTGAGCAACTTTCCATGTGAAAGACAACTGTAGCGAGGCCATAGGGGGCCACTGGAGCGAGAGTGAGCTGCGAGACGGGAAGCACAGCACGCACCGGAAAGAACCTGCGCGACCAGAGACCGCAGTGCCGAGCACCTTCATGCTCAACTTCCCGCCAGGTGCCGGCCAGATTGATGAACAAGAGCTCGCTCCAACCCCGCAGGGGGCAAAGGACTCTGGCAGTCTGCGGCCGAGGCCCCGGAAAGTAGCGTGCGAGTAGGCCGTCTGGGGCGTCAGGTCGCCAGCCACTCTGCGGAACGTAGGGCTCACCATCATTAAGGTCTACTCGAGGAGGGAAGAACCGTCCCGGCCACTGTGAACCCGGTGAGCGACTACGGCTGGGTCGCCGGCGGGTGCGGATGGTTCGAGCCTCGGAGGAATCAACACTTGGGCAGCTCGAAGAACCAGCCCAGGCATGGGCGGCAAGGCTGTAGAGAAGCCAGGCAAGCTGTGCCGGGAAGGAGAGATGGCGCCCGAGCAGCCCAACGGCCGCTGAGTGGACCCACCAGTCGCCGTCGCGCACAGTGGCAGTGCGACAGGCGTGGCTTGAAGCAGGACGAACTGTATAACCTGAGATGTGAAGGTCATGAGAAGCGTCGCGCTCCACTTCAATGCAACGAGTGGAGTCGCAGGACTGGATAATATTAGCGCGGCCTGCCACTTCAGACTGTTCAACGAGCCAAGGTGGCGCGCCGAGGTGACCATGGCAAGGCGCCCAGCGGTGGGTTCCGAGCTCCTGTTCATGGTTATGCACCGTGGCAGCAGCGGCGATCCATCGGGCTTGATGCCTTAGAAGGGCGACTCGAGTAGGACGGCCCGGTGACCACAGAAGGACACAGGAGGCCTGAGCAACGAGAAAGTCTGAGTGCCACGCAGCCGCAGAATGGGCAGCCCCCCATGTTAGAAAGACAGGTGGGTTCCGCGGCCCGGCAAGTGGGTCAAGCTGAAGTGGGCTGATAGCAATAATATCCCCAGATCTCAGAGCAAGGACCGGACGGCTGGCACGGACAGTAGCCGCCAGTCCAGGTGACAGGCTGACGCGGACTCGTTTGCCAAGTCGCATTTGAATGGCTTGCGTAAGATCCCGCGGGGTCATGAAGGCTGGCAGGATAACGCACAGCAGCTGACCCATGCCTTGCACCAACAAGCAGACCAGACGACGCCCGGGTAAGGGAACAACAACCTGGGTGCTGTCCAAGACGAGTCCCGTAGCCGCAAAACCCTGATGCCAAGATGCTAAAGTGTGATGCGCATCAGCGACTACATCGTCGAAGAGGTTGCGCGGGTCAGCTTCAACCCGATTCCAAGGGGCAAAAGGGTTAGCAACCGTAACAGTGACGCGAGGAGCTGCAGCAGCCGGGACGGTGGCTGACGAGGCGGACGCTTGTTGAAGCATGGCTCTAGAAGCAGGGATACACGCGGTGGCAGTCAGAAGGGCCATGCCGCGTAGGCCGGAAAACAGGAGGGCGGCCGAGACACCAGGAAGGATGGGGCGGCAAAAAGAGCCCCGCCACCAAGACTGTGGGCCCCCCATGGCAGATGGGGTGTAGCCCAGGGCAATGCCACTCCAGGGAGGATCCTCATCAGCAGAGCAGAAGGACCCTCCGACTAGGGTCTGGCAGCTAGGTGCAGCGGCAGTGTGAGGCTCGTGAAAAGGAGTAATGGCATGTTGGCCTCTGAGACCGGCGTAATAGGAAAGGGTACAACCCACAAGGAGAGGCAGTCGCATCTGCCGCTGCTGGTTCAGATGCAAGGCGGAGAGGGCAACACCGAGCCACCAGCTCGGTGAGCCTGGGCCACGAGGGCATGCACTCCGGTCGAATGCCCCAAACACCACATCACCGTTCCTGAGTTCGCAGGCCTGTTCCAAGGCATAGGCAGGCACGCCGCCAACCTGTATCGAATCTGGGCAGAAGTGGAGCTGGTCAGCAACGCTGTGCCGGGAGGCAATGCGATCGACAGTACGGCATAGTCGGCCTTCTGGCGTGGCCGCGACAACATTGACTCGGGCAGCAACCCCGTTGACCTCCATAAGCTGAAGGGCGCGGGCACTCGTCCATTGGACAGGTGTCCACATGCCCGGAAAATGGTGCTGGAACTCACCTGAAAAGGAGAACGCTTCAGGGCACCAAGATTCGCCAGCCGGTATGGTGGTGAGCAAGGGCGGTTTTTCAGGTCGCAGCAAGTGGACTGAAATCGGGAACATAAGCTGAAATCCGACCGCCCAAGGGGCGTGATGTGCGGCCAGGCCATCCTGTAGATGCCAGGGCTCCACTAGTTCAAGTGGCTCATCGGGGTCATCCGGTGGATCATGTACATACACGACGTCCCCGTTGCGGAACCTAAACGCGGCAGGTGGAACATCAAAAAGTTCGCAGACGGCAAGCCCGTGGGGAAGAGACACACCCCCGACAGCACTGTTGATATGTCTGGCCGTGAAGGACGTAATCCAGTCCACGGTCATCGTGCGGGGAACAATTGTGGCCCGGTGGTGGCCCCGCCAGATGAGCATCAATGTGACCAGTGCTGGATCACGTCCAATCGGGACGATGGACAGTTCATTGAATGCCGGCCCCGGCCAAACGGGGAAGAAGTCTTCAGCCCAACCCGGGTCATCATTGCGGAACTGCGCCCAGACTTGCGAGTGGGGAGTCTCCTGAGATGCCGTGTAGGGAGGGAAAACCCCTAAGAAGGGACTATGCAGGACTACGTAAACTGGATCCTCGGCGGTTATCCCTGAGAATACACGGTTCACCGAGTCGGTCCCCCATGGGAAACCTCCAGTCTGTGCATACTCTGGACCAGGCTGGGTAGAATGGCGGCAACAAGCCAGGCAGAGCCAGGACGGCTGCGAAGAACCAGCACGAGTAAAAGAGGGACCCAGAGAGGTGGTGAAGCAGCGATGGCTGAGGACTCGTCAGCGGGGCTACCATCGCGCTCGCCCGCACTCACCGTTCCTCTGGCAGCAGTAGGGTCCCTGCTAGCTTGGCCTTGGTGGGACCGATGGGGAACATGCCGCCTAGCTGAGAGGCAATCGCCGTTCCTAAACTGGACAACCTGTGTACCTTCCTGGACCTCAGGCGGCCGAAGGTCATATTCAGTGCCATCCAAGCGCAGGGCCCTGAGGGCAGCGATATCAACAGTCGCGGGGAGGCAGCAGGGAATTAAGCGGTGCTCAATAGCAACCCCAACGGCTACGTTACCGGGCGCCTGAGGGCAGCCAATGAGATGGACCGCTCTGGCATCGGGCTGGGGCTGGAGGAGCACCAAACCTGCCCAGCCGCGGCCTCTAGCATGACCCGCGAAGAGGACGAAGGGGTTAATTTCAGGGCCCGCTGAGTACTCGACAATCTCACACTGCTGCCGTGCTGTAAACGGGTTATGGATGCAAAAGGGCGTGCCAAGTGGGATCGCGGCTGCAAGTGTTCGGATCCCGCACCGAAGGCCTTGGAGGTCAGCCTGGACTCTTCGCACCGTGTCTTCATCGGCTGCAGGTTCCCTATCGACCGTGGAGGGCCATTGTCTCAAGGCATAATCCTCAAGTGGCCTCGCCGCGCGAAGAAACAGCATGTGAGGTTGGAAGGGAGCAATGGCCTGCACAGCCGGAGGGGCAGTATCATTAACCTGCTCTTCCTCAGAGCTAGCCTGCGGTGGGGTAATGATTGACCCCGAGTTGAGGGTAGCAAGGGCAAGGAGACTCCCAACCGCCCCAAGGGCGCGAGGTACCTGAACGCCGAGAAGCAGCAAAGCGACCCACGGCAGTCCGCACATAGCCTGAGAACCTGATGCATCGCTGAGATCCAAAAGATCGGCCGTAGAGGTATCAGCCGCGCATGCACTGCCGGCTCGGCATCAGGTTCGGCGAGGCCGGCCCAGAGCCGAGCAGTGTGGAACGAGAGCTCCCGGGAGAGGTGATGCACCCTGGAGACAGTGGCGTGATCAAGGCCGGTGCCATTGCCGGAAAGGTCTGTTTGAACACCTTGATCGACCAGAGGAGTTTGCAGAGCTCCAGCTGCCAACCTGTGGCCATGACCATCCAGAACAATGGCCGGTTCAAGCGCAGGACCGCGACTGGGGATATGACGAAAGTAAGGGCTTTCGACAACAAAAGGCTCCGGGTTCCAGGGGTCATCGTCCCCAGGTAGCCGCTCCAGGGCCCCAACTAAAATCTGGATAATAGTACCCGAGGGGAAATCCGGCAGAACTGTGCCAGGGGCATAAAACTGGCCAGCATAGGCAAGTGTTGGGCACCGCTCCGGCAGTTGGCCACCTTGAAACAGAGTGCGGAGGTGAGCGGAAACAACCTCCCAATTAAAGGGCGAGTGGCCGAAGGTAACGACCGCCGCGGCGCCCCAATGGAGGAGCCAGAACCTGGCCGTAGGAAGGGTTGGAGGCACGACAGGCACAAAAAGAACATGCTGAACAGTACCCCCTTGCTGGGAGTGAGTGGAACGGAACTCCCCCGGATCCGGAATATGGTGGAGACGGCACATCAACTCACGGAGCCAGCGGGTCTGATACCCTTGCGGACGCCAAGGCAGGTCGACTGGCTGCGGCACATTTAAGGTCCAGATGCGCATGGTGGACGGTGTGGGAGCAACCTCAGCGACCGGTACTAATTGATGCGCCTGCGGTGGCTGCATCGCAGCCGCATGATAGGTGAACAAGAGCACTGCCAGGCAACCAGGAACCGAAGGCCCTGCTTTAGCTGCAACAATCAGCAGCGTGCCATCGATCACCTGACCTATGAGGCCGGGCAGGGCACGCGAGATCAAAGCTCTAGCTCCATGCGGGCTCGGAGACATTTGTCGGACTTCGGCTGAGGGCTCAACACTAAGAACAACGCCATCGGGCTCAACTGTGCAGAAGAAGAAGGAGCAATGCGAAGTGTAGTGCTGGATGACCGGCCGGAGCAACTCGCACCCGATAGAGTCCCTCAGGATCCACCACGCCACAGGAGAAGGAGGCGCGACGACCAGGTCTAGGACCTGAGGGTTGGAGTCGTACGCAACATGAAGACCGTATTCGCAATCGGGCAAGAAAGCACCCAAATAGGCACTGAGGTGCATGTCCATGTGGCGGGCACCGACTCGCATGTGCACCGGACCTTGGCCCGGCAACCACAGATGGATTTGAACCTCAGGCCACGGCGAGGTGCATTCCACATAAGCGCCGAGTTGAGGGGCGGCAACAGCAAAGCCATAAGTCTGGCGCCCTAGCTCATGTGTCCAGGAGAGGGTGCAGGTCCGCGTGAAGTCTCGCCGAGGAAGCAGAGGATCATCGGCTCCCACTCGTGAAGTGAGGGCAGTTGACGTAATCGCAAGCTGCACAGATCCCGCTTGCATAGCAAAGAGTAGAAACCCCAGCCAAGGCTTACCCTTACTAAACCAAGCTAAGCCAAGTGCAGCGGAAGGATAGGCAGGGGGAGAAGGCGGTGGGCTGGGATAGGGTGCTGTGCAGTGACGCAGCAGTTGCGAAACGCCCTCGGGCGAATCGTATCCCACACTAACGCACTTCCTTGTGACGTCCGCAAGATCCCGAGGGTACGGCCAGACCTGATTGTTATCGGAGAGGAAGGTCTGGGGAAGTTCCCAAAGAGAGAGGGAAAGTGCTCGAGTAACAGCTTCCCAGGTCGGGACAGGAGTGCACATTCCAACAAGGCGGCCGCCTTCCCTCAGTGCCCAGACAGTGAAACCTGGAATGCAGGCCACGATACATTTAATGTGCCAAGAATCACACCACAGGCTAACAAGCTCAGACGCAGAATCTGGCACAACGCCTGCCCCGCATGAGGTCGGGGGTGATTGCAACACAGCGGCCTGGGTGCTAGCCGTGATAAAAGGGGCGGTGGTTTGAACACCCACATGTGTGAAAGCTCTCGCCCGCGGCGGGGGCAGCACAGAAGGTTGCCGAATGGCGCGGGGGTGCCCAAAGAAATGCACGGCGTGGCGGCGCGCCCGCGCGAAATCGGCTTGTGCATGGACATACCAGAAGTGGCAGTCGTCACGGGTAGGGATGGTGGTGCATTCCCAGGTGAGCACAGAGAGACCAAAGGTGCGTAGGCTGCGGAGGAGCCCGGAGGCGGGCCGCCCACTGCTGAGGAGACTCTCCAAGAAGGCAGAAAAGGAGTCAAATACTCCAGAAAATGCAAGAAAGAGCCCCGGGGCCGTCGGGACAGAGGCGTCAGTAAGACGATAAATGATGCAGTCTTGCCCCGAACTCACTGCAGCAAACGTGGCATGGGGAAGGGCCCCGGAGTCGGGAATCTCAATGAAAATATGCAAGGGGAAGGCTATTACGTTCTCGGGTTGAGGCAGCGGCAACAGCCGCGACAGCCGTGACTGGCGGGGTAAGACACACCGTAGTAAGACGCCACCCCACAGGCCGGAAATCCAAAATGCACGGCACTTCATCGCCCACGCAGTGTATTTCCAGAAACTGGACAAGTGGCAGGGAAGGGAGAGGATGCCAAATGCGCATGATTCCTCCAGTGGCACTGGCTGAGGCCCGAGTCGAGACTATGCGCCTAAATGTGGCTGCGTCCGCAAAGACCGGGGCTTCGACATAAACCAGGCCATTCGGGGTGATGAGGATGGCCTGGTTGTGTGAGTGACCTGGGAAAGCCTCTTGATTGAGTGGAGCGGAGGGCAGACTGACCTGCATGGTCGAAAACAATGACAGTGGAGGGTCAAGTGAGGCCCCTATAGGCCCGTCCAGTGCTCCCGTAGACGGCCCGAGCTGGAATTGCAGAGTGTCAACATCTTGCAAGAAAAGGGGCTGGGACACAAGAGTCAACCAGCCCCACGGGCATCGAGCAAGGAGAAGGTCGACCTCAGTTTGCAAAGATTGAGCGGAAAGGGCAAGTTGGGCAATGGCTCTGCAAGTAGAGTCACGAGGGCACTGAAGCATACAAATACGGCCTCCAATTTGACGCAGATCCACAGGCAGCCACACTTGTCGCCAGGAGCAGGCAACGGGGGTCAGAAGAATTTGCTCACCTGGCAGCCCTGGGAGGACTCCCCGGACAGCAGAAGCAGAGAACACCCCCGAGGGAAAGCCCAGCGAAGCTGCCAACCTGGCGTGAAGAAGAGGACCATGCAACCATTCATCAACCAGGAGAGGGATGGGACACGGTTCCAGGATCGGAGCGCCAGGAGGCGTTCCCACAAAGACGGAAAGATGCCTTCTGTTCCGATCTGTGCGTGGAAGAAGCAGGTTCCCCGTACGCCCAACCGGATAGACCTCGCACATCTCCTCCACGGTCGGGGTGGGGAGGACAGGTCCGGTACTGAGAACAGGCAGGCCTTCGTGAAATCCGTGGGCATGGAGCTGCACAGCTTCAGGGGAAAGCATGAAGCAAGAAGAGACAACCGCAGCCCCAAGGTTAAGAGTAGCCCCATCAGCAACTGAGAAGTACAGCAGCAGCAGCGTCACGTGCAGGCCTGGGGCTGCATGCCTTTTAGGTCGAGCCTTAACACAGTAACGTGATCCTTGAACCTTATGACCAGCCAGTCGGGAAACCGAACACAAGGCATTGTCATGTTCCCATGAGGAGGACGTTAGGGAATGGCAGGCCCAAATCAAGGCCGAGGCAAATGAAGAGCAATGCTGCCAGTGTCTGTGTGCCCAAGTAGGGCCACATTGCCTCAGGAAATCGGCCGGCACAGCAAGGAATGAGCACCAACGGCAAGGAAGCCACTCCAGGACACAGCGGAGGGTGCGGACCAAAGCAGGGTGGAAGGCCAAAAGCTCACTAGTAACCGCACAGAGTGCCATAGGGTAGGGCTGACAGAAGGAGGCCGCTACCCACCACGCAGAAGCAGAACAGGTACTGCCGAGCTGCCACGCACGATACCAAGAAAGCTTGGGACCGTAGGCCGAGAGAAAATGCGTCGTGACTACACTAACTCTACGCAGGGCTATACACAGGAGCACACAGCGCCCGAGGAAAAGGCAGACCGTGGTAAGAGAAACTTTCGACCAAACGAAGTCTCTGTTACCACAGCCCGCTGGGACAGCTGTGCCGGAAAGCCATTGCTGCGCGACATCATCAGAGGTCACTCGAGCTCGTTCTGGCAGGTGTTTGATCCAACTGGCCTCATAGGCGAGGGCATGCGCAGCAAAACTTGAACATGTGCATCCATTGAAGCATCCTTTGCCACAAACCCGCGCAATGGCACCCCTGCTTCCAAGAGAAGGTCTGGAAACAACCATTCTTGAGCAGTGGAGGGGGCATATGCAAACGGGTCCCTGAGGTTCCCATTGGACAGGAGCGCGGCCACCAGCAGTCCCTGACGAACCTGTGGCAGAGCATTGGCGCATCCCCGTACACTGTGCAGAAATCCCTGCAGGGATAGAAAGAGCGATTGCAGGTCGGCATGAGCCGGGTCCGCCACCGCATTTTCCAAAGCAGTCCAGACCGATTCGGCAGTGCGTAGAACCACATCCTGCGCCTGAGCATCCAGAGTGAGCTGCATGGCCTGGTCTTGCTGGGGGCAGCGGCCGACTTCGCCCACCAAGTCGGCTCCACTGTCCACAGCGAAGCGAAGGAGAGCCAACCATGACACAACCCAGGCACTTGCCGTTGCAGTGGCCGGCAGTAATTCTGGGTCGTCGTCGGCAACATCGGTCTGTGCATCGCGTTTGAGGCCTTCGGGGGTGCGTCCTGTGGCTTCTCCAGGCCACGGTGCACCCTCCAGGTCCCGACGCGGGCTTTTGGAGGGCCGGTCGACAGTGCCTCCGCTGCGCTTCCGCCATCGGCCACTTCGCTGGCCTTCCATTCCGGAAGGGACCTGGCTTGATGTGTTGACCAAGGGCCCAAAACTCATCTCCGAGCTGTGGTCGGCAGCGAGGTCTCAGCGGGCTGCTGAGGGGCAGAAAGCATAGGGACATCCGAAGAGGGTCCTGCTGCAGCTTGCATCCCTAGAAAGTTGCCACCTCTGTGCACACCTGCAAGCCCTTGCGCTGGAACCTGAGTCCCCGGAGGCACGGCCTGGGTCGTGGAGAAGGCTCGAAGAGCTGCTGCCAGACGCTGAACCTCCACCACTTGGCCCTCGGACCATACTGGCCCCAAAGACTGGATCGCACGGTCGAGCTGCTCCTCCGTGGTCACGGAGGGTTGTGCCGCCATGACTTGGCGCATTTCTTCCACTGCAGCGACTGTATCCTCGTCCACTTTCCTGCTGAGAGCATCTACACGGTGGGCAAGGCCCAAAAGATGCTGTCCCATTGTAGACAGCCATGCCAGCAGCGCATCCTGGAGGTCCTTCTTGGCACGGACGTTGCCGTTCAACCGCTTCGACAGTCGACCCAGGGCGTTTGCACTTCGCTGAGCTAACTGTTCGACGGTGGCATTCTCGGCAGTAAAGGCAGTCTGGCTCCACAAATCCTGTGTAGCCCTGGTCGCGATCGATTGTAAGGATTGAACCATCGAAGGAGGCAATCCAAATTCGATCTTTGTAATCTGCGGGTTGTCCGCTTTCTCTTTGCCCTTTCCGGAGCCGCCCTTCTGCGATGACTGACTGCCAGCCCCTCCTTGCTTGGGAGCCATGCTCCCGTGGTGGGTCGCAAGCAGAAACTGCTGCGCCGCTGAGAAACGCCCTTTTCTCACGGCCTTCCTGGCCTTGTGCCTTGCCCGCCTTTGACGCCGATGCCAAGCGGGACTGCGTGGGCGTCTCCGCGCCGTTGTCGTGCCCAAGCCAAAGCAGCCCCAATCCCAGCAATAAAAGCGGTAGAATCGGGAGGTACCTCGCCAGGGCAGTCATAAAAGGCCGCGCGGCCCGAGGGTTGGCTCAGTTAAGGCAGCAACCCAAAGCTTGGCCAGTGGCCAAACACCACTCTGGAGAGCGCCTCCAGAAATAGGTCAGCCAATTGAACGGCAGTGACCCAAAGAAAAAGGGGCGTACCGAGCCCCGATGAGCCCACCCACGGGCAGCACCAAGCGCAGAAGCTGCTGGGGTCCGGAATGGCAAGAGCGCACTAGAAAACTCCAAATTGGAGAAGCTAGCCGCTACCTTGCCTCGAGCCAGGACGCCTGGTCCCAAACACCCTAAATCCTAAACCCCAACCCCTAAAAACGCCGACCTTTCCACCTTCAGCCCCAAACCCTAAGCCCAAGCCCCAAATCCTTAACCCCCAGACCCCAAACCCTCAGACCCCAAACAGAAAACTTTAGCCCCAAAGACTAAGCTTGTAGTTGCGTAGGCCAACCTTGAACCCTGAACCCTTAACCCGCCAAGACCTGGAACCAAAAACCCTGAACGTTGAAGCTTAAACCTTACAAGGACAAGCCTGAGCCCGAAAGCTGAAACCCTAAGCCGTAAACGCGAGAATCACACCCTAAACAGGACCCTAGACCCTTTTGTTGTGATGCAAACCCTAAACCCTAAAGCATGCAAAACCATCTCTAGGCCTCTCCCGGATATGCTTTCAGCGATTTGTTCCTTCGGGTCCGCTGAGAAAAAAGGAGGGAGGAGCTGGGACTTTCGGGCTTCGCATTGGCGATTTCAAGATGGGATCTAGGGTTCGTGATGTAAGGAGCTAGGTTTTAGCAAGTGTATAAATAAATAAATAAATAAATAAATATATATATATATATATATATGTATGTATACACATGTATATGTATGTATATATATATATATATATATGGGTATAGGGTTTAGGGTATGTGTAGGCTTGCGATTGACGTTTAGGGATTTCTGGTGTGAGAGAAGACGCAGCGCCGCCCGTCAATTTGCCTTCAGGGCAGAGGCTTGGAGGAGGGATCGAGGAACTCCTGGAAGCCCAAGGGTTTAATTTTGGGTTTAGGGTTTAGGGTTTAGGGGTTTAGGGGTTTAGGGTTTAGGGTTTAGGGGTTTAGGGGTTTAGGGTTTAGGGTTTAGGGTTTAGGGTTAAATTCTGGGGGTGTGTAAACCTTGAACCTTTGGCGAAGTACTTGCGGATTTATCATAGGGCCTTTGGGTTCGAGATTTTGGGCTCAGGTTATCCTTATTGCACCCTACTTAAAGGATCATGGGACTTAGTAACTTGGGTTATAATTTGGGTAACTATACATATAACCCCAATTAAGGTACTTATAACCTTACTTACTAAGTCCCATGATCCTCCAAGTAGGTTTCCTTAGGGCACCGAAGCAAGTTCGTTACAGTGTTTCGGCTCTGGGAGGACCCAGACAAGACGTGCTTTGGATGCTTTGGACTCAGGCTTGACTGCAGATAGCCAGAAACAAGACTCCCTATATTCTAGCTCCAAGCTGATTCGGATTCGGGCCGCCGGGTTTGGCTTTGCGGACCTGAAAAAATTGGGAATCCGAGCATGGTAAGTGGGGCCATTCGCACGCTACTCACATTGGGTTCCGACATCCCCAAGCTCTCATATCTGAACTCTGATGGATTTAGAATGGTTTAGGGCTTCAGTGGCCTAGGGTGTTGCAGGCGCAGGGTTTAGGATGTGGGGCTTAGCATTTGTGTGAAAAGCGGGGGAGAACGACGTTGGTGCACTGAGCCTCTTGTTGTGAGTAGCAGAAAATGTTCTCTAGCAGCACCAGCCTCTTCCGTCCTTAGAGCCCAACCCAAGCCACAAACCCAAATCCCTAAACCCTACACCCTAAACCCTACACTCTCAACCCTACACCCAAAACCCCCCAAGCCCCAAACCCTAAACCCTAAACCCCTGGAGGGATTTCATCTGTTCTGCAGTTGGAAAAAGGCGTTCAAAAAAAACCCTAAACCCTACACCCTAAACCCTACACCCTGAACCCTAAACCCTAAGCCCAAAACAGCTGCCAGAAGGACCCTGGAGATTCGCTATCGCGAGCTGCACACGCTGATGCTCTTAGGCGCCCAGGTTGCATAATATAGGGGCCTGAACTACCTGTCCTACCTTGAAAGGGATCCTTAAGGGTTCCTCTAAGGGATCTATAAGGGATCCATTATAGGGTGTAGGGTACTATACTACATACCGGGCCACGGCTGCACAATGCCTTTACAGGCCCCGCCTACAGATCCCTTAAGGGGCCCCCTAGCACAAGTTGTGCAATCGGCCCACCTAAGTATATAGGACCCTTGAAAAACAACTCTACAAAATCCGGTGCAAGAAGCCCCTAAGCAATCCTCCAACGGTCCTGAATACGGTTGAGGGTGGGCTTGTGCTGAAGGTCAAAGGGGAAAAGGCGGGACCCTTAATGGGGACCCCTACCCTATAATGGGCTATATACTGGGCTATATAATGGGTATATAATGGCTATATTAGGGGTATATACCAAGGGGTCCTTATTGAGGGTCCCTCCTTGTCCCCTTTGAGAAGGGCAGGTTCTAAACCCTAAGCCTAAACACCCGGAACCCGAAGACCCACTTGTCCCGCAAGCCCAAACCCCCATCCCCAAACCCGACATCCTAAACCCGAAGCCCAGAAGCCGGCGTTTGGGGGGTGATTATTATTACCTATAATTATTCCCAATATGTTCTTTATTATTATCAGGACGATTATTATCATTCTTACCATTTATTCCGTTTTTTTTTGGTTTGGGGAGCGGACTTGAAGACATCTGCAGTGTGTAGCCCCCATCGTAATCCTTACGCAGGAAGGAAAGTTTATCGAATGGGGTTGTTCCTGGCTTTAACCCGACACTGCAGCTCAGGGGTGGACAAGAAGACCTTGGGCATCAAAGATGTCGTCCAGGCCACGTTTCCCCACAACCCACATCTCATGTCTAGGGGTTTTGCAGTTTAGGTATTTCGGCCTTCTCTTCTAGGGGTTGTTTAGGGTTTTGGGGTTCAGGGTTTGAAGTTTGGGGGTTTCGAATTTGCGGATGATGAGTTTCGGGTCGCTGTTGAATTTGCGACTGTAGGCTCGGAGTTCAGACTTTGCGGAGTTTCGGCTGTTGTTTTTTGGGGTTTAGGGGTTGGTTTAGGGGTTTGGCGTTTAAGGTTTAGGGATTCGAGAAGTCGAGACTGTCAAGAAGTAAGGCTCTTACTTCGATGTCCTGGAACCCCAAATCTGCGTTGCTACTGTTGATGGTATAAATCCTGCATTACCTTAAGGACCCTACATTATTAGGAAATTACGGTATATTCCTTATTATGGGTAATGCAGGATTTGTATCATCAACCGTACCAGGGTCTCTCCGCTGAAGATCGGCTCGGGGTTGAGGGTTTATGGATCCTTTCAACCCTAAACCCTTAATCCTAAGCCTTATAAGCCCATAAGGGGGTTTCTGAAAATAGGGGACCCTAATATAGTACCTTAAATAATAGGATCCTTATTATGAGGATCCCAAAACAAGGGTCCCCCTTCTTGGGAAGCTCCCATAAGAATGCAAGACAAGAAGCCCCTCTGTCTGCAGGAAGGAGATGGAGACGTGAAGTACGAAAAGAAGGCCTGGGCGCACTTGTGGTTCGGAGTCCCAATCAGGGTTTCGATGCAGCAATGACAAACTATTCGACTTAAAGGATCATGGTACTTAGTATATAACTAGGGTTATAATTAGGGTAGCTTTAGTTATAGCTACTTATAACCACAATGAAGGTACTTATAACCTGACTTACTAAGTCCCATGATCCTCCAAGTAGGCTGTATTTGTGAAGAGCTCCAGCCCGAAAGCCCGAAAGGGATTATAGATCTGACAGAATATGGGTTTAGGGTTTAGGGGTACCCTCAATGATAGGTGCCGTGTTATAATAGGGACCCAAAAAGGGACCATAACTTTGACAACCACCCATATGGAAGCCCAAGCGATGACCAATATCATTCCTTAGGGTCCCTCATGTTTCATGTAGTC